CAATTTTATTACTGTTGTTATGGTTCGGATGTTGATCATTATTAGCCTGATTGCTTTGTTTTTTTATCATCTTATCAACACCGTGGTTGTAAACATTAGTATGATTATTGATCTTCATTACTATCATCAGTGTAGTTTGACTATAACGATTACCATTAGCAATATCCTAGTTATTATTATTTTAATTATAAACTGTAATGCCGTTATTTATCTTATAATCATTTTCTTTTTTTATAATCATCGTTGATGTGCCAATGATCATATCAATTCTTATTATCGACTTAGTATCATCATCTTATTTTAACCATGATTGATGATCATTATCACAGACCAGGAAATAATTTTTGTTGCAACGGGAATATTCATCTCCATTGTAATTTCAATCACGTGACCAATTACGTGCACTATATTATGAATGGGATATATTCCTGGCAATATATCGTGTTTTAGCACAATCTGTACACACCAGCAATGTAGGTGATGCTCTCCATGCTATATGGGAATTGAGTTTCAAATTAATGTAAGTTGTTCCTCCTTTATTTTACATGGAAGTAATTTCGTTATATATTTTTTATATTATATTTCGTTTAGTCATCGTCCTCCTCGTCCTCATCAGCACGGAACTCAGCGTCGTCGTCGTCGTCATCGTCGTCGTCCTCGGCCATTTCACCGTCGGCTTTGGCGTCACGGAACTCCGGCAGAACGTTGTCCTCGACGACTCGGTAACCGAAGCGGTCGGCGACGTACTTGACGTAGTACTCGTTGCCGTCAGGCGCTACCCACGAGTACTCGCCCTCCACGGCCGTCCCTGGAATGCCCTCCTGCTCGTGCTCCATGTGGTCCTCCTCGAAGTCGATGATGTCGGAGGGGCGGGCGGCGGCCAGGGCGACCAGACCCAGGGCGATGACAAGCTGTAAGAGTGAATGATGTGACTGAGGGAGAAGTTCCTATATCATACATATCGATGGATGGAAACACACACACACACACACACACACACACACACACATATATATATATATATATATATATATATATATATATATATATATATATATATGTTGTATTCGGTGTAAAAATTACGATACGCACTTCTCTTTCTATCATCCTAATGTAGATAAGAATGTATTCTAACGAAAGTTAGATCCTATTTTTTCATAGACATTATCATTATATTATATATTGGCGCCGTTTACTAATTTACGTCTATATTCTTCATTTATTCACCGACGTTGATGAAGCTAGAATACGAAGAGAATTTTGGCCAAGAGAGAGGAGTCAACTTTCAGAAATCAGTTTTGGTGGAGATACTGAAGTCGATTTAGATGTTGATGTTAGTTGATATTGATGTGAATAGATGGAACAGTTGACGTCGATGCAGATAGTAAGATCGATGTTGACGTTGATGTGAGGAGATAAATTTCATGTAGATGTCGATGTGGAAAGATACCAATGTGAGTCGATGTAGAAGATGAGAAGATAATGAGGTGGATTTAAATCTTGATGAGCAGATTATGGGGTCAATATAGATATTGACAAGATACTGTCTTGTGTAGATGTAGATGTAGACATCAATGAGCAAATGCCTGGGGTCAAATGTAGATTGTGGTAAGGCGTAGGGTGTAAGGTCGATTAGGGGCGACGAGGGCGGGGCATATTTCCACTTCAGGGTCGGTTAATCTGGGTAAAAGTATAGTCCTGTGGAAGTTTGGGGAGATGAAGACCAGTGGTTTCCACTTAGTGCCTGTTAGTTTATACTGATAATGTCTGGATATTTTTCATTATCAATTTTATTACTGTTGTTATGGTTAGGATGTTGATAGCCTGATTGCTTTGTTTTTTTTTATCATCTTATCAAAACCGTGGTTGTAAACATTAGTATGATTATTGATCTTCATTACTATCATCAGTGTAGTTTGACTATAACGATTACCATTAGCAATATCCTAGTTATTATTATTTTAATTATAAACAGTAATGCCGTTATTTATCTTATAATCATTTTCTTTTTTTATAATCATCGTTGATGTGCCAATGATCATATCAATTCTTATATATATATATTTATATATACCCGTTGTCCCGGGTTCAATTCCCCGTCGCGGCGGTCGAAAAAATTGCCTGCGCTCTGACTGCAGGCCCGAGCACGAGAAAACGACATATCGGTTTGAGAAGTCAAACGCAGGTGTCGTAGGGGAAGTCACCGCCGTGGCACAAGTGTTAACGCGCCGAACCGCGGTTGATTAGGAAGGGCATTCAATCAGGCAAGGGTGACACTGCCATATAACCTCTCAATACTGAATTGAGAGAGGCCTATGTCCTGCAGTGGAATGAATGGCTGTTGAAAAAATATACATATATATGTGTGTGTGCACATAAACACACATGTATATATATATATATATATATATATATATATATATATATATATATATATATATATATATATATACACACACACAAGCATACACACATATGTATGTAAGTATGTATATACATATATATATACGTACATACGTACGTATATATATGCACACACGCTCACACACACACACACATACATATAAATATATATATATATATATATATATATATATATATATATATATATATATATATATATATATATATATATTTATATGTATGTGTTTATATATTTATATATATATATATATGTATATATATATATATATATATATATATATATATATATATATATATATATATATATATATATATTTATATGTATGTATATATGTGTGTGTATGTGTGTGTGTGTACACTAGTGTACGTTCTTCCGTGTGCGTAGATTTGTGCTCCATCCATATATCAACGCCTTAGAATCCTTAGAATCCCCAGAACTAACCAGAACTCTCATATTTCTCAGGAGGCAGACGACTGATCCCCCTCGCCCCCCGCGGCCCGATATATAGCAGCCTGTCCCGCCGACGACCTTGTCCAGGCGCTGGAATCCACGAGCCAGACTCCAGTTCCTGATTCTTCTCTCTGACAGTGTCTTTGTTTTGTGTTAAAGAGATCTGTTTTTTTTTTTGTTTTGTTTTGTTTTTTTGGGGGGAAGAGGGTGTATTCGAAATTTCGATTTTTTTTTCAGTTGTCCTGTGAAAATTGTTCTATGAGTGTTGGCTGTATTTTTGAAATGAAAGCATAACCTTATGATTAGACTGTGTGTGTGTGTGTGTGTGTGTGTGTGTGTGTGTGTGTGTGTGTGTGTGTGTGTGTGTGTGTGTGTGTGTGTGTGTGTGTGTGTGTGTTTGTGTGTGTGTGTGTGAATAGATAGATGTATATGTATGTAGATAGATAAATTCCTGTTCATATCTAATTATAGATTCAAAACACATCACCCAACGTATTTCAAACAGCTTTCAAGTCCACAATCGTTTGTTAATATACACATCTCTTCATATTATCATAAATATTCAGAAGAAATTAGAATATAAATAGAAATTACTTCTTCTTTTACTCTAATGATGATATCAAAGGAACTTTTCTTTTAATTCGTTGTTGTTGTATCTTTCATCGTTATTTTTACCATGATTAGCACTTGTTGTTATTATTGTTGCTGTTATTACTATTTTCTCATTCATGCTTCCTCATAACTGCTGACGTCATTAGAGTTGTCAATAACTTTATTGTTGTTGCTTTCATTGCAATAATGTTCAGTTAACTGACATATTATTTCTACTTCATTATAGGCGTTATTTTTATTATTTTCACTATCATTATTACTACTATTATTACTACCGCCATCAATTTCAACACTGCTACTATTATTACTACTATTACTATCACTGTCATCAATAAAATTACTGTTACTATTATCATTATTACTAGTTACCAACATCATCTGCATTATTGTAAATTATCAGAATTATTTTACTTGTCATCATCATTACTATCACTATGATAGTAATGTTGATAATAATAAACAAGACCGTTACCGTGCTCTTTATTACCATTATCATCAATGTAATTTCTCTTATCATTATCATTACTTTTAATATGATGAATATCATGACAGTCATTGTATGATAATGTACTATTATAGTCATTGATTATTGTTACTATTATCATTTCTTATTTTGTCACTTTGTTATTGGTGCTAGTATAATTATTAGTAGTGATGTCATTAATATTATGAACGCTTTCATCCTTTTCATCAGCCTGTTTATTGATATTATTGTTAGTTATTTTCATAATCATCACCATTGCCATTATCATCTATCGTCATTACCGTCATTATTGTTATCATCATTATTATTATCATTAATACTGATATCATTATCATTATCATCCTCATTATTATCATGATCATCATTACTATTACTATTTTCATAATCATAACTATCATTGTCATAATTATTGTTATTACTATTAGTTTTATCACTATCGTTATCAATGATATTATTTGTATTTTTATTATCATCAACATTATCATTATAATCATCATTTTTACTAATGATATTATTAATGGCTTTTTTATCATTATTGTTATTACTGTCATTATAATGATAAGCTATATCATGCATAGTTGTTTTAAGTATTAACATTAACATGATCTTCATCATAACCTTTGATTTGATTTTATTATTATAACCATATTTTTTCATTACTAAATCCATTATCATATATATATATATATATATATATATATATATATATATATATATATATATATATATATATAAACACACGAGAAGCAGCTGTACTATGATAATAGCAAATTTATAAACTTAGCTCAGAACTGGATTTGAACGCATGAATAACGAGCATTTTCTTGGAGACTAAATATCTGTTCCCTTTTTTTCATTTGAACAAAGGCCAGTTTGTAAAGTTGAAACATATCAGAGGATTCTTTGTAAGCGCTTGGAAAGTTCACCAATATGAGGAAATTGTACTAAAAGTATACAAGTGGAAGATATATTTTATTAATTTAGTGAATTATACCAGCTCTCATACTAATACTGGATCTATGCTATACTCTAATCGTCGTCCTCTTCGTCCTCCTCGTCCTCATCAGCACGGAATTCAGCGTCGTCATCGTCGTCGTCGTCCTCGGCCATTTCACCGTCGGGTTTGGCGTCACGGATCTCCGGCAGAACGTTGTCCTCGACGACTCGGTAACCGAAGCGGTCGGCGACGTACTTGACGTAGTACTCGTTGCCGTCGGGCGCTACCCACGAGTACTCGCCCTCCACGGCCGTCCCTGGAATGCCCTCCTGCTCGTGCTCCATGTGGTCCTCCTCGAAGTCGATGATGTCGGAGGGGCGGGCGGCGGCCAGGGCGACCAGACCCAGAGTGACGAGGACCTGTGAAGATAAAATCCTATTTTATATACGAAGTGTTCTCCCGATATTTCTAAACCATAAAAAAACTCACTGCCTAGCCTTACACCGAAACATTTGACATTTCAAATATCCACGAATTTAATCCTCACTCTGTGAAACATACCAGAGTTTTCATGGCTGTTGTGTGATGAAGAGAAGCTACTGACTCCCTCTGCGTCGGTCCCCAAATATATAGTAGTCGCCCTCGTGACCTTGTTGCTGAGCATCTACGGCACGTCTCGGTTCCTGTTTCTGGTCCTGTTTTTTCCCGTTTGAGCGAGAGTGAAATCTCACTGTTTCATCCTATCCCATCAATCCCATCACTAGGTAATTTTGATAGAAAATAACCCTCACATGATTTTTATTCAAAAAGTAATGACCGAAGATGCATATATACATATTGTCAAAAGAATATCTACACACACGCACACAAACACACACACACACATACACACACACACATATATGTATATATATAGATAGATGGATAGATTTATAGATATAGATATATGTATGTATGTATGTTTATATATATATATTGTTACATGTATCTCTCAAATCCTACTTTTTCCTGTTTATATATAGATTGAAATAACTTTTTGGTAGTGCATTACGGAATCTAAAAATCTACTCGCGGAACGATGTTTTATACTTGAAAAATTGATGTATAATTTATTTGTATCGTTACATCATGTCTGTATGATTCCAGAATTTGAAGTTTCTTAGTTAAGATGAGATACAACTGATATGTCGATAATTTAGGTAAAGTTTTGGAACGTTTTGTTTACGGCGCTCTCCTGAGGGTTCGGCCGGAAGGGCATGGAAGGGGGATGCCTGCTGCTGCCTTTGATTCAATATTTAGATAAGAATAATGGTTGTGTTGAATTTCATTACTGTTTGAAATGTTCTCTGGGGATGAAACGCAAAGTTGATTAATAAGAAAAGGGAAATTTGTTATGGGATGTTACATTAAATTTCAATTAAATAATGAGTGGCCTCTCACCCATCGAGAGCACATGCCCAGGTATGACACTTTTCTTTGTCGGAATAACCAAGTTTTATTCACACACACACACACACACACACACACATATATATATATGTGTGTGTGTTTGAAAATCAGTACTGAACAATCGTTCGAAAGTAATAGCCAGTCTACGTTTGGGACGTGATTGAGTTTCATCAACTTTAATATTATTATCTGAATATATTTTGATGCCAAGTAAATATATATACTCTTTGTATCCCATCTTTGAGTAATTAAATGTTTTGGAGTTAAATAAGCACCTGTTAGCTATCAGGTGACGTTAGCCAGAGGAGTGCGGTCTAACACAAGAGCTCTCTGTTAACAGAAACTATTATTTCAGAGTGAATTCTGATATAATGAGTCGATGAGCTGATTTGCACATCCAACATGAGGTCTAGGTGAGAATGTAAGGCAGGAAAGGTGTAACAATATATATATATATATATATATATATATATATATATATATATATATATATATATATATATATACATATATATATATACACACACACACACATACACAAAGAGTGTGTGTGTGTGTGTGTGTATTAGACAGCTACCTCAGACGCCTTGGATTTCCGAAAGACCTATAGAGGATGACATGTGAATGATGGACTCCACCTGGTCCCTCATTCGTGCAAGCTTAGGATCCCTTGACAGCTCACCGCTCGCTCCAGACCAAATCTGCTTCTCGCTTAATCATATACTATAACCTTTTCATGTAAATTACACAGATAACTTCATGAGTGTCTGCCTTAATCTTGATTTCAGTATGAATTGGGACTTAATGTAACATTTAGATCTATTCTGTGATTATTTTGCATTATGAAATCAAAGGGCTTTCAAGAATTTAGGTTTGATGCCAACCCTAACAAGCACGATTTTTCCGGGTAACTCTGAAACAGTACAATGTTCTAATGCAGATTACTTAATAACTGATTTCGTCCTTCGGTTTGATAGGGATTAAAATTAATAATAATTTCATGATCATGGCTGTGAATACGAAATTCAGTTGAAGGATAGGTGGCAACCCTTTCTGTATATTTTTATGCAATCCCTTGGTAATAATAAAATCACTGGTTTGATGTTGTAAATATTATAGTTATTTGCATTACTGTCAGTTAATACTGTTAATGATTTATTTTTGTTGCTAATGCTGTTGGTATTAGTATCATTATTTTAATTTTCAGGATAATGAACATCCTGAGTAATCACATGTCATTAGCCTTATTCATTATGGTTTTCACTATCAATATCTTTTTTTATCAACATTGATGCAAAGGATGTTGATTTTAATGAACTTGTACAGTAATCGGGTACTAAAGGTCGAGTTTATCAAAATAAGTGTTTTATTATCTTATTTTCAGTTACAGTTACATTACTCTTTCAATGTTTGTAATGTACTTCAATTCTACAAGTTCTCACACTAACACAGGAACTATGTAGTACTCTAATCGTCGTCCTCCTCGTCCTCCTCGTCCTCATCAGCACGGAATTCAGCGTCGTCGTCGTCGTCGTCCTCGGCCATTTCACCGTCGGCTTTGGCGTCACGGAACTCCGGCAGAACGTTGTCCTCGACGACTCGGTAACCGAAGCGGTCGGCGACGTACTTGACGTAGTACTCGTTGCCGTCGGGCGCTACCCACGAGTACTCGCCCTCCACGGCCGTTCCTGGAATGCCCTCCTGCTCGTGCTCCATGTGGTCCTCCTCGAAGTCGATGATGTCGGAGGGGCGGGCGGCGGCCAGGGCGACCAAACCCAGAGTGACAAGGACCTGTGAAAACAAAGTTGACAAGTTATGCCTTCTGGCTTTACCCGGGCCTTCCATATATGGCCCGGTCAAGCGTATACCATTTTGTTTATGTAAATGACATGTACTATTAAGCCAATTTCTGTGACTAAAAGCACGATGCATACCAGGACTTTCATGTTTGTATCGACTGAGAAGAGAAGCTACTGATTGCTCTCGGCGTCGGTCCCCAAATATATAGCAATCGTCTACCACGACCTTGCAACAGGGCACCTACAGCGAGTCGCTGGTTCCTGTTTCTGAGCCTCGTTTCGTTTCCCTGTTCGCGCTGTAGAGACATTTTAGCATTATGTATCAGCGCCGTTGTCGGATAATTTACAGAGAATCATTCTAATTTTAGTATAACGAAGATGAAATCTTGGCTTTGTGTGTATATATATATATATATGTGTGTGTGTGTGTGTGTGTGTGTGTGTGTGTGCGTGTGTGTGTGTGTGAGAGAGAGAGAGAGAGAGAGATATACATACATACACATACACACACACATATATATATATATATATATATGTATATATATATATATATATATAATATATATATATATATATATATATACATGCAAGTGTGTGTGTGATATGTAGACATATAAATATATATGTGTATATGTATACAAACTTATGAACTGTATAAATACACAAACACTCACACACACACATATATACATACATACATACATACATACATATATATATATATATATATATATATATATATATATATATATATATATATATATATATATATATATATATATATATATATATATATATATATATATATATATATATATATATATGCGATATATATAACCTACTGTCGTATTTCACGCTATCTTTATTTTCCACAGAATTTGTAGGAAAAGTAAAACTGAACGAAATATTCTGGGAAGCTACCGCTCGCCCTAGACATTATCTTCGAGCGTTAATGTTTCCCTTAACTGTCTCCATGGCAATAAACTCCCAAACAGCCCGAAAGGTACAGACAGTTTCGTGTATATCTGAAACAATCTTAACAAACGCTGAAACCGGATTTTTTTTATTATTATCAAATGTTACTGTTTATAGAAGCTGTTGATGTTGTATGTTGTATGTTGTATTTTCTTCTTTTTAATCAAATGTTACTGTTTATAGAAGCTATCATGTATGTTGATTAATAAAGTGTCCGGATTTCTCAAGAAGGGGAATCCCCGAATTCTAGTGTGATGTTTCGCCTGACCTTCGCTCCGTAGAATACTTCATTATCTTATTTTTAAAATGCTACTAATAATAACGAAAATTAATAGTGGCTGTAAAGAAGATAATGATAATATTATTTTTCTTTTTCTTTATTTTTAATATCTTTTTTTTTTTATTATTCTTAATCTTCTTGTTTTAACTCTTCCTCTTCCTTTTCCTCTTCTTCTGTTTCTTCTTCTTCTTCTTTGCGGTATGGTACTGGACTACATTTTACCAAAATGCTGTTAGTTTTCTGTTGAATTGGTATGCTTATTCATAATCCTAAAAGGTGATTTGTGATTGTTACCAGGTTGTAGAATGTCAGGTACCCGAAATAAATTCTTATTTTTCGTCTTATTTGTTCATTTACTCATATGTCTTTGATCATCATCACCATTACCATCCTCTTCATAAACATTATGGTTATTATCACTATTACTATCATTATTACTATTGTTATTATCATTATTAATATTATTATTACCATTATCATTTTTATCGTTATCATCATTGTTATTATAGATTTTAGCATTATTATCAGTATTACTTTATCACTATTGTTATTGTTATCATCATCATTATTAATATCATAATTTTCATCTTTATTATCACTGTCATTATAAGCTTCATCATCATCATCATCAGTCATTATCAATTCATCATCACTACCAATTTTTTTTTCAGCATCATTCCCCTAACTCTCAGACCTGTCACGTATTTTACGCAACAGAAATCGGGCATGACACTAAGCTCCGACTGTTTTGCATTCCCATAGGCTAAGGACCCGAACGACTTCTGAATGGATACCGAAGATGCCGGACCTGACCTCTGCCGGGTAAGACAAAGGGACAAGGGTGACTTGAGAGTCAGAAGAAATTTAAGAGTCAAGAGATATTCAGAGGTCAGTGGAAAAGTTTCCTATGTGCAATAAGATCTAGTATATGTAAGTAATTTCCATTATCCATATGTTTGTGTTTATGGTAGATGTTGATTTCTAATTACACTTGGCAACTTCTCAGTTAAGTTGATGATCGCATATTGTTCCATTAATGCCTGCGAGGATCATTTGATAACAGGAACTGG